TGGCATATTCCAGAGCATCATGGAGCACAAACTCAGGGGTATTCCAGGGGTTTGCCCCTACTTTGATGACGTCCTCATTGCAGGGGAGTCATTACAGAATTTGGCTGAAAGATTAAGAGCTGTGTTGATGAGGTTCCGTCAAGTGGGCCTCAAATTAAAAAAAGACAAATGTAAAATTGGTGTTACTTCTACAGAATTTTTAGGCTTTAAAATAGATGCTCAAGATATCCACCCTGCAGAATCTAAGTTGAAGGCCATTCAGGAGGCCCCAAGTCTAAAAGTGAACTTCAGGCTTTCTTGGGACTTCTTAACTTCTATCATGCTTTCCTTCCCCATAAGGCTGCTGTGGCTGAGCCGTTACACCGGTTCTTAGACAAGCAAGCTCCATGGCAGTGGACTAAAGTCCATGACAGGAGTTTTAAAGAGGTCAAGGCCTTGCTCTCATCAAATGCGTTATTAACCCATTTTAATGAGCAACTGCCTGTATGCATCGCTTGTGATGCATCCCCTTATGGGGTGGGTGCAGTACTCGGTCTCCTAAAGGCTGATGGAACACAAGTCCCTGTGGCTTACTACTCAAGGACCCTGTCATCTGCAGCGTGGAATTACGCTCAGATTGACAGAGAAGCCTTGGCAATAGTGGCTGGCATAAAGAAATTCCATGATTTCTTATATGGCCGTCACTTCACGGTCTATATAGACCACAAGCTGTTGCTGGGGTTGTTTACAACGACCGAACAAACTCCTCACATCATTTCCCCTCGTATGCTGAGGTGGTCCATTTTCCTGTCAGCATATGACTACACGCTCATTCACAAACCTAGCAAAGAAATGGGCCATGCAGATGGCCTCAGTAGGCTACCTCTCACTCACATAGAGGCAGATCCTGCCCCTGCTATTAATATTCTTTCTATTCAGCAACTACCTGAATCTCCCCTCAATACTAGGAATGTGGCTGCAGAAACTGACACTGATCACACGCTTACACACGTGCTGACATGGATGTTGTCAGGATGGCCTGACATGTGTCCAGATGCTACATTTCAAAGTTTCTGGCAAAGGAGACATGAACTGTCTACCTTTAATGGGTGGCTTTTATGGGGGAGTAAAGTAGTTATCCCAGCCTCACTGAGGTCTAGAGTCTTGTCCTCTCTGCATGAGGGACATCTGGGCATTGTGAGCATGAAAGCGCTTGTGCGCTTGGTGGCCTGAGCTTGATAAAGCTATCAAAGCCCAGGTGCACGGATGCCAGGTGTGCCAACATGGCCTGAAATGCCTCAGGCTCCTGTACACAGGTGGGAGGAGACACAAACCCCTTGGTCAAGGGTACATTTAGATTATGCTGGGCCCTTCCGGGGGCAATTCTTTCTTATCCTTGTGGATAGCCATTCCAAGTGGCTAGAGGTTGTACCTGTCTCCTCCACTACTACTGCTAGGACCATCTAGGTGCTAAGAGGTATCTTTGCAACCCATGGCCTTCCTGATGTTCTCGTTTCTGAAAATGGTCCTCAATTTACATCTTGTGAGTTCCAGGCTTTCCTTCAGGCCAACTTGATATGGCATGCAATGTCAACTCCCTTCCACCCTTCCACCAACTGGCAAGCTGAAAGAATGGTGCGCACCACCAAAGACGCACTCAAAAGACTAATGCATGGCAGCTGGCATCACAGGTTAGCAGACTTTCTTCTTGCACACTGCACCACACTTTGCACTGCCACCGGGAAGAGCCTAGCTAAACTCCGCTGGGGCCACTGCCTCATCATAAAGTTAGACAGATTGCACCTAGACCGGGTGTCTTCACAGGTGTCACAGCCACCGGCTCCTAGAAGACTCCAGGTGGGTGATCCGGTCTAGGCAAGGAACTATGGTCCTGGACATCTCTGGGTTCCTGCTGTCATCTGTAAGATCTCTGGACCTCTATCATACGAAGTGACCTTGGGAGACGGCCACGTCCTGCGGCATCACATTGATCAACTATGCTGGCAGTTGTCCCCTGTTGATTCCACCCCTGCCTCCGCTCTGGGGGGGGGAGGGGGCCCAGGAACTAAGTCACACTTCAGATCAACATTTTGAGACCCAGCCTCACTGTTCCTGGGAATTACCGCAGGTCGCTAGGGGCTTACCAGGGGAGGAGCAAGGGCATCCTCACGGTTCAGTTATTGCACTGAACAGGGAGTCATGTGTATCCATAGAGGCGGCTCCTGACTGTGGCACCCCAGCCACTTACACGGGGGAATGGAATTATTGGGGCAATGCAGGTCACGTCCAAGACTGGTCGCGGGCTCAAGGGACTAAGTTCCCTGGAGCCATCCAGAGTAGTTGGGGAGTCCTCAGCCACTCCAGAGGATTGGGAAAATTCCTCTGCTCTAAGGGAGCTTGGAGAGAGCCCCAACAACTCTGCCAGTCTGCCTCACCAGGGGTCATCTGCAAAATTTGTGTATAAAAGTCCTGGTCTAGGGACCCCACCAGACGGGCCCGTAGGCTAGGCGCCCTTAAGTACAAGTCCTGGTCTACCTAGCCGACAGGTGAGCTGACAGGCCAGGCACCCTCCCTGACTTTGCATAGGTCACAAAGGGCTAAGGCCCCTTCTAAGCATCTAGGTGAATATGTGAGGTTCCTTACTAGTAAGTCTAGGATAGGAGATGGACCTATGCAGGGTAGAAGATAGACACAGGAAGTCCACATTAAAGGGTAAGTTGTTTAGAGAACTCTATTATTTTATAAGAATGTTGCCTGTGTGTGAGCAGGAATATTATTTTCTTTTTTTTTTAGTATTATTGTGAAAAAATTGGAAGTGTGTGTGTTCTATCTAGGGGGGAGGGGTGTTGTGTCCTGGGCCTGATGAGGAAACTCAGCAGGCCCAGAAATGTTGCAAATGGTCCTGGGCAATCTAAAAGCTGCCTGGGACCAGACTGGCTGGCGCCAGACTACTGCGCATGCGCAAGGCATGAAGAAAGAAGGATTCCTATTGACTGGACTGCCTGGGGGTTGGAAAACTATAAAAGGCCTGCGTGCCTGTTTTGCAGTTGCTTGGAGTGGAGTTAAGGTGAAATAAACTTGGTTTATGATGTGCCATGCTTCAATGCCTCGAATCTCGAAACACAAAAAGAACAATGATGTTCAATGAGACTTCTTGCTAAACAGAAGAGAAACCTTCATAACTGAGGGCAGCTGGCTGCAGCCAGAATTAAAAGACAGCTTTGAGTCAGGTTTCCTTGTTGGAAATAACTGTGTGATCTCTGGCTCTTTTGTGACGTTCTTGTTGATTCTGTTCACAAAACTCTAATCTTTAGACTGGCTGACTAACATGATTTGGCTCTCTGAACTCAGACTAGATTTGGGACTTCTCTCCTGCTGAAAGCAAAACCAGTAAGGCCAGCTTTCTTCCTCAGAGTCTTTGTGTTGATTTATGATCCTCTCTGCTCTGCTGTTATCTGTGTAACTTTGAAGTAAATTACTAATTCCATAGCAACTATGTCTGAGTGTGTTATGTCCTGGGCCTGCTGAGTGACTCAGCAGGTGCAGGAAGCTGCAGAGAGCCCCAGGCAGACCACGTGGTTGCCTGGGACCAGACAGGCTGTCTCCAGCCTATTGTGCACGTGCAAGACGGGAGAATCCGTTGTATTGATTGGCTGACACTGTCCCTGCAAAGAGGTATATAAAGGAATCCATGCCATTTTGTTTTGGTTCTGCTGGAGATTCAATAAAGAAGCATCTGTTGTTCTTCTGCCTCATCTCAATGCCTTACCAATTCACAGAACAGAACAGAGTGTGTAATTCAGTGGTTCTCAACCTTTCTAATGCCGTGACCCCATAATACAGTTCCCCATGTTGTGGTGACCCCCAAGTGGGTGTGGCCACCAATAAGAGGGAGTAGGACAGCTAGGGAAAAGGGAAAAAAATGGCGGACAGCATGGTTTGGCGACCCCCGTGAAATGGTCATTCGACCCCAAATGGGGTCCCGACCCACAGGTTGAGAACCACTGGTGTAATTGAAACCTGAAAGAGGACATTTTCAGACAACAGGACTACCCTGCCCTCCTGGCCCAAATGCTTGAGGAAACAGCCAGGGTTTGTATGCATTCTATTTATTTGTGAGATGTCAAGGCTGCCTGAATCCATGATTCTGGGTAGCTTAGAGATAAAAAGAAACATAGTACGTAGAAAAAGAAATGATTGACTAGAAGAATAAAACATACAACTATAAGCAAATATTACTAATATGGGTTCCACAACTACATGTCCCAAGGCCTGAGAGAACAACCAGATCTGTTATAGTTTCCTCAACATCATGAAGGTGCAGCTGCACAAATCTCATGGGGATGGAGAATATTATTCCTGAGGGCAAGCACTGCAACAGAATAGATGCACTTCCTGGATTCTATAAAATGACACTGTTTAATTGACAGGATCTGGACACATCTATCTGGTTTGGTCAAGTTAAATAACTTGCATTCCATAAGCAAACATACATCCATATGTTCACATTCTTCCAATTATCCCATTAACATCTGCAACCTTATCATTTTCAACATCCTCACAATACTTATGACTTCCTTTCTGTATTATTTTTCTTGGGTGTTAATGTTTGGAACATTCATTTCATGTCAACTGTTTGATGTTTCATTATCATTTCCATATAATTTTCCAAAATAATTCTTCCAGCACTTCATTAGAATTTAATCTCATTTTATATCATTTTCATTCAAGTTAGTTCATTCTGCTGTAAAATCCATATTTAGCTATTTTTATTTACAGTAGAACCTTAGTTAGTGTAGCATTTGTGAGAAGGGGATATTCCTTACTCCAATTATCCATTAAATCAAAGAGGACATAAGCTGCAGTGAAGTCATTATGCAAGCAGTGTTAAATGAAATAAATAGCAATAGAGTTTCATCCAGTACATCAAGGCCCATAAAATCAAGGTTTTAATGAACTTCAAAGCCATGTTTTATTTTTATCAAAATTATTGTAAATTTTCTCTGCTATATTAATTTTACCTGTTCCTAACTGTTCAGAATCTTCCTCAGGATCACATTAATATGCTTTCCTCCAGTCTTTGAATAGCCAGCAAAGTATATTGACATAAATTTCTCCTTCTTTACAGATAAACTCTTTCTTCCCTAATATTCACTCTTGACACAATCAAAAATGGTTTGTCCCCCATTTAGAATTCTTCTATCTTTCTGGATCAGTCACTAATTCTTTCAATCATTCATTATAAATAATCAACCATGCTTCAAATTTACCTTTGTTTCCTTTGCCATCTGCGCTAATGAATGGTTAAACTGTATTTGAAACAAAACTTTCCCCAAGCACTTATTGACCAATCTCCAACATTCATTCCCACTTTTCCTATGCAGACTTCTCTTATTCTTATCCGTCCATTCAGATCTTGCTAAGGAATAAATTGTTTTCCTAGATTACACTCATTCTGAATATTATGCAATTCCCCTATACCCAATAATCAAATATCTACTTTTTTATTATTACAACTCATTGGAATATGAATGCAATTTTTGCCAATCTACTATTACTTTCATATGTACTTACAACCATTTTTTTATAAACAATTTTTATTAGTTTTCCATTTTACACCAACAGAAGCTTAAGAGCCAGCGTGGAGATATGGTGGTTAATTACAAAAGAAACAATAACATTATAAATATACAATTCACATAATGTTTCTTAAATTTCCCTCTCTATCTATGTAGACTGTTATAATCAAATAGATTCAAATAAATTCATTCATTAATATATCTAAGTATAAGTTTCCTTAATCAATAGAAATTTTCAATCGCTCAATATCAATGTAATCATCAAATTAGTACAATCCTATAACCAATTCATCCATTAATATATTGCTATATATAAATTAAATGCTTAAATCAAAACTAACGCTCTCTATCTGTTTAAATTATTGTAATCTCATTATTACATTTCTAACACAAGTTTTCATTAAATATATAACTAGATATGAATTTCATTAATCAATAAATGTTTACAAAAGCTCCTTATCTATCCCAAAGATCTTGTTTTAAACTTTATTAATTTTTCAAATATTTGAATTTAAACTAACCTATTTATTTTATTATTCCAGGACCCCAAATTTCTCTTATTTAAACATATTAGCTCCAAAACTAAGTTCTTATATTTCTCAGCTATATTTTTATTCTTTTTCAATAATTCTCCAATTATTAATTCCATCTCATTCCAAAAAGAAAACACAAAAGAGAGAAAACAAACATACACAAAAGAAAAAAAACACATATTTTTACTATACTTCAATATTAAGTTCTAAATCATTTCATAATAACCTCCCTTTTAGCAAAAACCAAATCCAAGACAGTTCGAATTGCTATAAAACCTTTACCATCCATAAGTATCATCTCAAATTTAATATTTATATCTTATTTTGGGCTTCTTTCTGTTCCAAATAGGTTTCCATAGTCGAGTCTCTAGCTCTGCAAATAGCTCTCCCATTGTCTCCTGCCACATCGTATACAGCAACAAGAGGTCTCTCATTCTCCATTTGATTAGGGTGATATAAGAGTTGTAGTCATTCTGAAGAGCTCGTGCCAAAACGTCATTTCCTGTCTTTTTTAAGGTTGCATAAACTTTAGTTGAAATCATTTTTTTAGTATAGTCCTCTTTAATCAAGCTTTGGTCTTCTTCCAATAGTTTATCCTCTATCAGAGAGTCAAATGGAGTCTGCAAATCAGCTTGTCCTTTTGAAGTAAACTCCTCCATTTCCTTATTACATCTGTCCATTTATATCAAGGCTTTTTCCCAGTATCAATTGATAGTCCAACTGTACATTTGCTTCTTCCATCTCAGTGGACTGGGAGCTAGTCTCTTGAATATAAACTACAGTTTCACTTAAACCTTATGCTTGACTTTGTCGATGTAAAGAAATCTCCTTTTTGCAGGCAATTATCATCTCTGTGTTTTCTAAAATTTTGTCCAAAATATATTTATAGATAGAATCTGAGCAGGTTTCCTCCATTTTTATTATATTTGAAGACATTATCTTTTTTGGGGAGACTGTTTTTAATGACAATCAATTAATATCCATCTCCTCCCAAGTTTCTTAGTCTTTTTCCTTTGTACAAATTCAAAAAAAAAAAGAAAAAAGAAAAAAGAAAAAAAAAAGAAAATAGCAAGAATAATACCTAGTTTCAACAGAAGATGTCCCCCAATGAATAATCAAAGTTAATCAAATAATCAGTCTTTTCGGATGCCATAAAAAATAAAAGAAAACAATACTCTCCAAATACATAGGATCTTAAATCTCTCTAAAGAATTTTCTTGGGGCTCCCAAGTATCAAAAAACAAAATCAGACATTAAAACAAAAATGGATTTCATCCTTTTCTTAAGCTTCTCTTCCCCTATTTAAAACACTGCTTCAACAAAAAGGGAAATAATTCAAAAAAAAAAAAAACTTTTCACAGGAAAAAAAGAAAATAGAGGTTAAAAAAAAAGGCTCACCAAATCTTCCATGGTGGGTCTGCTTGCTTAGATGATCTTATGGCTTACGGTTGGTGCAGCTAAATGATCGACCATTTTACTGGCCGATCTTTACCCTGTCAGTCCAAAGGAGATACTCAGGGCCCAGAGGAGGCTGCCGTTCCTCTGCAACTACCTGAGAAGCCTTCTCAATGGTAGACACTCCTCCAGAGCATCTTTTTGACCCTCAGTCTAAGGGGTCTACCGGTAAGGGAAACTCGATCGGCAAAGGGACGACTCACTTTACTCGACTGCACTGCTGCGAACCAGAACCGGAAGCCTACTTACAACCATTTTGATGATTCCAGATCATAATCAGCTCCTAGGTAGCCTATTAGGACCACATGCAAATTGTTTTCAAAACAGCCCTCTCTGTTCCCAAATATTCTGTTTCCTGACTTGCTAGTTTCCTCCTCAATGTACTTTCATCTTCATGCATGCATTCATCAGCTTTTCTGTGCAATACCTCCAATTATAGTTTTGCATCCTTCTCCTTTCTCTATGTTTGAGAAACATATAACATGAGGAAAAGAGGAGGAAGAAGGTGTGTTGGATATTTGCCATCTTGAGCTATTTGTAAAAACAATAAAGACAGGATACAAATAAATAAATAAATACAATTTCTTTCTTTCTTTCTTTCTTTCTTTCTTTCTTTCTTTCTTTCTTTCTTTCTTTCTTTCTTTCTCCCTTCCTTCCTTCTTTCTTTCCCTTAATTTGTCTCCTTTACCCTTTACTCTATTACAATCCAAATTTCAATATTCTATTATTGAGGACATCATTAGATGGATGGTCAAAGTTAATATCTATATGAAGCCATCATGATGTTCATCAATGAATGCTTTCATATAATGCTTTTTAGTAAAATAGAAGAGTAACATTCCCTGTCAATGCCAAGGACAGCACAATCAGTTTGGTCACTCAGCCATCCTGCCAAGGTCAGTAAAATGAGGAGTCATATTTTTGGGGCAATATGCTGATTCTGTAAACTGCTTAGAGAGGGCTGTAAAGCACTGTGAAACTGTATATAAGTCTAAGTGCTATGGCTATTGCTATTTAGCCAGCATGAGCACCTAAGATTCAATTTTATCCCCCAAATGCTCAAACTATTCTATGCAAGTTAGAATCCTGAGCAGATGCTATGATGTGTTTTCTCACAATTACAACTAAAACATGGTAGGAATTCTAGAAAATGTTTAATGTGGAGACACATTTTCCCAGGGTAAGTTTTCATAGTGGTGCTACAGAATTTTAAATCCTGAGAATGACTAATCTGATCTAATCAGACCAATTAAGCCTAAAAAGAATAGAGGAAACAAAAGCTCTAGTTATTACATGGGATCCAGTAACAACATTACCAGCCAAGGAAAGCAGCAGCTGCTGCTGTCCCCTATATAAACAGGAAGAGATACTTATTCTCTAAGGAATAAAGGGGTTAGGAGTCAGTTATCCAGACTCCCCCATGCAATGTGAGCCAGCGATGTGAGCTTTCTTTCTCATCAGACATGGATCTAAACTAAAGAGACTCTTTTTTTTTAAGCAGGAGGAATTCTTCCTCATAGAGATATACTGTGTAATCCATGAGAACAAGTTACTTCTGCATCATCTGGAGACAACTAGCCCAAGCAAAGGATTTTGGTAGATGCCTCTTCAAAATATTAAGTTCACATACTAGGGATGTATTTCTGAATTTGAGAATGACAGCAGATATCTAAGTATTTAGGATGACCTTAAACTCTACCCTGAATTAACATTTGCAAATGATTTACTTCTGCTTTTGTTTTTTTTAAAAACTAAAACCTGTGATCTCTTTTGCATATATGATTGTACCATGATCATGTTTTAAAGATTAAAAAAAGACTAAATGTGTAAATACATAATTTTGTGTATCTTTAGTACATAAAGTTCTCTAATCTTGACTATTTAATGTTGTTTAATTACATTAGGTTAAAGGGAAAAAAAAGTGTTTCCTTTTCATCCTCTCCCTGAAATTTTAGTTTCCATTTAAATAGACTTGAATTTTTTTTCTGTTTGAATTTTTAAGGGAAAAAAACCATCATTCTTTCTAAACCAAATGCTAAGCTGGTTTTCAGTGAGAGTAAATCTGTTAGAAAAAAAAATCATTGCAAGCAAAACACCTACTTAGAAAGCAGTGGTCTTTAATGTCTTCTGGTTCTGTTTTATTTTGTCTTGGGGGATCCCTGCAATTGTATTTTGTCTATACGGATAAGAATGAAGAGGTTTTACATTTCTAAATTATGTCTTTATGAAAATTCTTCCTGAAGAAAAACGATAGACATTTGTTATAATCTCAGATATGGAACTTGGAAATATTAAAGGCAGGAATAAATTCATTGCAAATGAATAATGTGTATAGTCTACATTAGGACATATGATGGTACAAGGCAGAACTAGTCTTCTAAATTACTTTGTCAAAAGATTTTTATACAAATGTGTATATATATATCCATCCAAAAGCAGTAATATTTTATAAAAATGGAGGACCTTAACTTGCCACTCAGAAAGATGTACGAGGAATTTGAGGATATGAAGAATACTTGGTTTTCTTTGGATTGTTTAATGTAAACTTAGGCAGTAAGGAAGAAGGATGTAGGTTTAACTATGATGGT